TCATTATAGGTCAAAAGTAGCACATCTATAGGAAAATAATGTTTCTATAGTTTAAAAACTGTTGAAGATTGAGATAAAGAATTCTGAAATTTTGGAGTCCTGAATTTATGCTTTAGATAACTTTTTATGATCAATGTGTTGATTATCAGATGCTGATCGATTTCTACTCTGAATAAGGCAGAAGCAGCAATATTGTCACGGCCTTTGCTGTATTGTATGTCAGTGGAAAATTGGCCAATAAAATCAAGATGATGAAGTTGTCGCAGAGAGCACTTTTCAGGCTTATGCTTTAAAGCATATACAGTACAAAGTCTGAAATCTGGACGTCCATTATCTGGAATGATCTAAAATCCGTACTTCTAAGCCACAAACATTTTCTTTATTATTATTATTAATGCTTTACGCATGTACATTTGTTTTTTTCTTCCATAATAAAACATGGAGATTTCAATTAAAAATTCTGATTCTTAATTTCATTTAGGCACTAAATAAAATACCTTGTTATGGAAAAACAATTATGTAAGCATAAATTTGTGAGATTAATAATTTGGCTCCATAGCTAAGTATCTACTTGGCATACATCTCAAACTGAAACATTTACCTATTTTATATCCCTGACGCCAACCTGGCGAGTCATTATTTATTATATTTTGCTTTCATCACTGCATGTTTATCAATACATGACAGCTTCAGTAATAACTCATGCTGTGATGTCTAAATTTAGTAATTGAATAACAAGAGTATGCAACCGTTTATGCTAACATTACACTTGGGGATGATTATAGATTTTTAAATGCTCTAAGAAATGTTGATGAGGAAAAATTCAACAAAAATTTCTTTTTATATGCTAAAATAGATTTTGTTAATGAAACTCATAGGCCAAAAGATTACGTTTAGTGCTATTTTAATTAAGAATAACTGATATGTTATTCACCATAAACCCAGAAGCGGCGGCAGAATATGTTGGCATCGGACGCAAAATTTAAAGAAGATGAAATTTTTGGAATTTGAAGCACTGATCTGCAAAATTAAGGAATGAGAAGTTTTTATGATTTAGGGAAAGCACTGGGATCCAAAGTTTAGGCACGGTGAAAATTTAGAACTTAGGAAAATGTTTTGTACCAGAATTTAGGACCCGTAGAGACTGCACCAGGCGGTATCTAAAAGATAAAGTTTTAAGTATATGAGTGTATTTATTCAGGACTCGGATTAGTTTGAAGCATGTACAAGAAATAAACGTAGGTATAGTGAATAACTAAACTAATACAATTTATATATAATTCAATACACAATAGGAGCAAGATAAAATTTAGCGAAATAACTTAGCTTTCGTCGCCAATCTTGTGATACACAGCCAATAATGTATAACGGACGCTATTAAATTTGGCTAAAATTATCTTTATTGATTCTAAGGCATTTCAATTAATGTAGCAGACTGTGCTGCTCTCTGATCTTTTAATTTGATCAAGCTTATTATTTTGTGTTATTATTACGACAATTTTATAAAAACTAAGCTTGAACTTTTGATTATGTCAAAAAGAGTTTCCAATTCTGGAGTTGCCAAAGTATCTACAAAGCGAAACCATGTTTCGATGTCCATTAAATAAAAATTGGAATTGCTGCAAAAAATGGATAAAGGCATATCTGCTTCAAAATTATGCGAGGAGTACGGCACTGGAAAGTCCACTGTTTGTGACACAAGAAAAAAGTAAAAGGAACTTTTTGAATTTTTTGTGGAAGCATCTTAAACACCTTACATTGAAAGAAATGTTTAATAAAGTAAACAAATAAATATTAAGCTTTCTTTTGTAAATTTTAATACCCTTTAGATCATAATTGTTCTTTATTTCATAAATTATGATTTCCTAATTTTAATTGTATAATTTCTGCCTGCCATCTTACCAGATTTAAATTGATGATCTATTATCCATAAAATCCCAGATCTGGAATCGCTTAAGTCCCAACCAGTCCGTATTTCGGACTTTGTACAGTATTAAGGACTTTTGATTTGTGTAGATTGTAAATGTCCTGCCTTCAAGAATTTCTAATTGACAAATTGTAGATTGTAAATGTCCTGCCTTCAAGAATTTTCTAATTGACAAATATATAGCTGATCAATCATAAATTGATCATTTCCTTTGACTTTTGCTGAGTTTAATGCATAGAAACACAATTTGGTTTCCCAAACTGAATTATGCAGTTGCATTAATGAGCTACCAACTGCCACATCCGATGCATTGGTATAAAGTTTCAAGGTTAGTCTGCAATTAATTTTTAAATCAACAAGCTTTTTGTTTCTTAAATCAGGTAGTAAATCAAAATAATGCAAAAAATCGAATCCAATGATATTTGTTGGCACTTTACACACATAAAAAGTGAAATCAAAACTGCGAGTACCGTTGGCAGCTGAAAACATCATAATATGTGCCTGACACATTTCATCTTTGGTTGCTGAGAAGAGACCGAGATCTGAGCCAGTGTTGCACAAAAATATTTTATTTGACTTTCTGTCTCTAATAAAAAGGCGATGAGACTCGGAGGGTAAAGCACAAGTTGCCATTACACTTTCCCTGGTTCGTTTTCCTGGAATGTACATTGTGGAACAAAGTACGAGATCATCGTAGAGACAATACCTCACCATGCAATATGCAGACCTCATCCAGTAGAGAATCCAATTTAGAATTATTGGGAACACTGACAGAAACAGGTGAAGAAACTGCACTTACATGTGGGTGTAACTTCCAATATTCCATTGGCAGTGCTGGTAGCTTTCCAAGAATCGAACGGCTCAACCAATGCGAGGATAGATTGAACATTTGGCAGCATTTGCTGAGTAAATAACTAGTAAAAATAAGTCTGATATATGCTGTTTTTCAGTACGCCTTTTCATGACATAAAGCTATTCAGAAAGTTTTCTGTCTCCAAGCTGCTCACTGGCGAGTAACTTCTGCTTTTCATTAGTATTGTTTTCCTCACAATGATCCGTAATGACAACTTTCAGGTCTTCGTAAGAAGAATCTGTGCGTTCCCAAAGTATGATATCTCGAACCAAGGAGGCAATCTCAGGCGGCAAATGCATAATGCAATAGTTAAACTTCGTCTTGGTATCTGTAACAGGCTAGGGTGCAGCTAAAGCAAAAGTTGATTCGCACATAGCAAACCACAATGCCAGGTCAATAGGATTATAAATTGGTATCTTCACAGCAGCTGTTTCCTCCATGGCAGTGGCTGCAGGGAAGAACATGAAAGCTTCTGAACAAACAACCAATATGAATTAAGACGCAAAAACACGCTGAATAAATACTAATTCAGAAGTCAAACAACAAAAATCAGCGTTGAAAATATATTATTTATATAATTTTGAAAATATAATGCTGATTTTTGTTGTTTTACTTCTGAATTGGAACCAATATGAAGCTTCATGCATATAGACAAGTCCCCAATTTATATTGGGTGAAGGTTATGGCTCGGTTGTAATCTTCAAAGACATGATTCCACTTCGCTAAAACAGAACTTTATTAACACGCCTATTCATTAACACAACTATAAGTTAACATGACTATTCATTAAAACAGAAAGACATCTACACAAATATTTGAACATCTTTGCACAGGGTAATAATGTGTGTGAGTTTGCTGGTCATGCTGGCAATTATTACGAAAACAACATGATGTCATCTGGTTGCGCATGCAGTCAAACACAAAACTGCCACAAAATCTACTACAATACTGCCTTGCATAATGAATGCAGTAATCCATTCCAAAATGGTATTACTCAAAACAGTAAAATAGTTCATAGAATAATAAAAACATCCCCAGCCCTGAATATGCTGGGAATTTACTTATTTCTCAGTTACAAAATTTAACATGTATGTATACATAACAGTTCATTTAAGATGTATATTCTCAATTTTTCTGTAGGGATGAACATCATAGCTTTGACAGTGTTGCACTTCTGTTTCGATTTTTTGTGATATTCAGATTCACAGGTATTACCTAAAGTGGTTTACCTCTTTTCATTATAATCATCCAGAAGTACTACGTGGATACTGTTGTTAACAGATCTGCTTGACGGTTCATATCACTGGAATGCTTCTGTTTGGCTTGGTCTGAGCCTCTTTCCATGTCTGAAAAGTTGGTGATGATTACAGTACGCATGGTCTGTTTATGTTCTCTTCTTATCATCAGAAAAAACTGAAGAGAAGGTGGCTTCTCTGTGTTCCTATTCAAGACATGCTCATGTAACTCTTCTGTAATAGTATAGTAATTAAGGTCACGTCTCTGGTAATTGTCTTGTCTAATCAAAGACACATTTTCTCTGTTTAAACACCAGAATGTAAAACAAATTTAGCTCCATGTTTAACATGTTAGTGTGATGATAGTCTTATGTTGTTTGTTATGCGGGACATTTTTTCAGGCTGCTCACCCATATGACACCACTTTATTTGGTTCCCTTTAGAATATTACTTTTAAAATATTATACAGTATGTAGATTATAGAATTAAATGCCTGTATAATATTCAGAATTCATAGTTTGTATTATTTATTTTTCTGTTGAAAATCTAAACAAATTATGCAAAATATTATAACTTAAAATTTATTAATTGTATATGTAAACTGTAATGCATTTTTAGATGCCAAATTAATGTTTTATTTGAATATTAGTATTACTCATAAGGAAAAAATGTAATAATAATAAATGAGGTGATCTAAAAATGTAGAGTAGAGATTCAATATATATAACTACATTATTTTTCTTTGTATTTAACTTACAGTAGTTACAGTATGTGTCTTAGTAGTTTAATTCTCATAAATATATATATTTAATTTTTAAAAAAAATTTTCTAATTATGTTGCTTATGTCTAATTATCTTGTGTTGCAGTTAAGGAATAAATAATCTTGTGTTTAATACTTTTATGATTTTAATTAAAAGAAAATTTTACAAAACATTTTTCATCTTATTTATTGTAACTTCTGCACTTTCTGTTTTCTTATTTTAGGAATGTGGATATTATCTGGAAGAAATTGAATGTTTTGAGTTAGATGAGGTTGAAGTTCCTAAAGCTTTAGGTGATATTTTTGAATCTGTAGCTGGTGCTATTTACCTTGACAGTGGGATGTCTCTTGATGCCGTGTGGAATGTCTATTATCCAATGATAGAACCAGCTTTGAGTGAGTTTATTTAAAATTTTTAATTATCAAACTTATTTATTTCATACAAGAAATTTAGTTTCAGACTTCAGCATAATTTTACTTTAAAAAAAATGTTTCTGAAGTTATAATATCATTATTAGTGTAAAATTTCGTAAAAGTTGTCTTTTCCGCCCTATCTTAAAATATGGGTAAGTGTTATAATTAGTTGTGTATTGTTTTTTGTCTTATTTGCTTACATTTTACATGCATGCTTTTAGTTGTTTAGGTATTCTGTGTCATTTCTCATGGCTTTGCTGTGTTTTTCCTTATTTTTATGGCTGTTGTTTTTTTAAGTGCTGCCAAGAATTATGATAAATCAGCGATGGCAGTCTTAACAATCATTTAGCAATGATTGTCACAAGTGCTGGAAGTAGGTTATGTAATGTGTTATTGTATTATATATATATATGTTTTTTAAATGTGTTGCCAAACTTTGATTTAATGCTGACTGAGGAAGATGCTGTTCTATTTTTCTAAGAAAAAGGTATTTTACCTCTTATTTGAATATGCAAAAATGCCCCAGAATGAAATTATATATCAATGAAAGCGTTTGGAGATGCAAAATGGAAGTTTCAAGTGAAGAGAAAGCATGCATTCTGACAATTGATGCATTGGTTCAAGAATATTGTTTTTACTAGTTCTGCTTTTTATTTACTAGTGGGCTGAAGAATTGATGTTTATACCCAGTGGTGTGAGAAACATTTTAGCCTTTGCAAAAATACAACTTTTGATTGGAATAGTTTTATAAAAGAATGCATATACACTATATTCAGTCTGAAAAGCAAATATGTGGCTCTAAAAGGATTGTGGTTATATGTCTATTACCACAATTTTGTCAGACAAAAAAAAAAAAAAAAAAAAGCAATGCTGACAGTGCTGTTTCACAATAGAGGATAACTAAAGGGTTATATGCCAAAAAACTGGTTTCTTTTTCAGCTTTCAAATAGAGAGGTAACCACAGTAAAAATCATTTATCATGTGCCAGAGGGATCAATAGTTTATGCTTACTGTTAGCAAACATACAAAACAAAGGGGTTACAGACCAAAACATTGCTGATGAATATGTTGTGGTAAAAAAAAAAAAAAAAAAGCACCTATAAATCATGTCATGATGATAATGTTGCAGATATATATTTCTAAGGGCTTACATACGCGGTTAATAGAATTGTATTAAGTGTCACCTGTGTATGATGACCACCTCCCGACAGATGACCCAAATCATTTGGAATCATCGCTGATGATTTCAAGATGGTTTACCACTTCTATGATGATTTCTTCTTCTGATGATTTCAAGAAGTTCTAATCAGTATCCTGAAATGTATAACCATTTAAACATTTGCTTGGTTTTAAAAGAAATCAAAGATGTATTTCTAGTACATCGTCACACGAGGTGAAAGTTCAAAATGCGAGTTCGTGAGTATGTAAAATAAGAACGAAAGATGCTCTTCGTCTTGTGCTACACTGTCGTGGAGGCAGGCAGAGGAGAAGTTATGTGATCTTGAGAAGGCACCTGGTTGATCAAAATCAGTAAAGTTCATTAAAAGTTCTTAATTTAACGATAAAAATACTTAATATGTAATAAATTTATGTATATTCCTTTAAAACATGTCTCTTCTATAAACAGTATCTCTTCTCTTTATGCGCATGCATAGCAGACATGCACATTAAACGCTCATGCGTAAACGTATTATGCGCATGCGTAAACGCATGCACATAAAGTTTGTAGCTTTGAGGTCCGGATTATAGATAATTCTGGATTATGGACGTTCGAATTAAAGACTTTGTATTGTACAGATGTAATAAGCATAACATTTTAGTATTTTTCTCATACTTTCCATCCTTTTCAGAATTTAATGAAAATATTAACAACGAAACTGATTTGGGCAAAATTGTTATTTATCATAGATGCCCACAAAGGTTTCATTAACCCTATATTGCATTTTTATTCCTTTAATTTAAAGATGTAAATATTTAATATATTGAAAAATTGATTGAAAAATATACTCAAAATGGGTCTTCAAATTTCAAATACAGCATTTGGTCTTAGTCTTTTTGCAACATTATTTAACAAAGATAATGTAAAGTACGCTTTTTATTAGCTTGGAACAACTGGTGTTTATTAATCAGGATGTACTGTTAAATATCGGCAAAACTAAACATCACAAGATCCATGGTCCTACCATAATTACCTTGTACTAATTTCATAATTTGCTCTTCTTTGTACGAAGCTGTCTATATTAGGCTTCAGTTGATTAACTTACTCCTAAGTTTATTAATTGTAGGTGAAGCATATAAAAACTGTCTGCCTTGGATAGACTTTCTGAGATTTGTAGAAATAGATTAATATGCCATGTTGCTTATTATTCGTGTTCTTAAGTTTTGACCTAAGAAAAGAAAATTGTGAATTAAATTTATCTTTTTAATTTAATTATTTAATGAAATTATAAGTTAATTAACTAAATCTCTATGTATAAAAGCATACACACAAAAAAAGGGGGTAGAAGACTTTATCAAAATGCAAAACAGGAACAGCAACCCAGAAATGTTTGATAAACTCTGATCTAAAGGTTTCTGGATTCTCATTTTAAAATGCATATCAGCTTTAAAAAATACAAATACTGTTTAGTTCTAAAGAAGAAATGCTATTTCCATTTTATTTGTTTACTAAGCATATGGAGTATCATCTTCAGTGATCGGAACTTCCAGCTTTCTTCTGTTAGCAAAATAGCCTTTAGCACATAGATTGCACAGAACTTCGGGCATTATACTTAGTCTCTGGATGATATACTTTTTCTAAGACTCAAATCATATTGCCAACCCTCCAGTAAAACCTGTCATAGATGAAAATGGTTTTATCACATAGGTTAGCCCTGACCTGGGTACAGCACAACATGTTTGTTGTAAAAAGATTCTTTTGTTGTGTTTAATTTCGTAATTTTTTTAAGGATTTGGTAGAAAGAGGGTATTTGTTTGAAAAACTAAAAGTTACACTTTTAGAAATGGGATAGACAATCAAGAGAGAGGTGGTCAACGATCCGTAGAAGATATTTTAAACTTTTCACAAAGACAAATTATTAGTCACCAAAGTAATCCATTAAATAAAATGTTTCTAAATGTAGTTGTAATAAATGTTTGCAGTTATCCTTAGTTTAATATATAAAACTGAAACTCGAAATTTCTATTACATGTAAAGAGAAGTGTTGAAATATTTGCTGTTTAGAAATTAATAGTACATTTCTCATACACCTTAAAATTTATAAATTCAACAAAATAAAGAAATAGTTTTGTTTGAAATAAAATGTAAAATAGGAAAATCAGCATACCTTCTTTAAAAATATTGTAGATGTTTTTAGTTTAGGGCGTAGAAACACAAAAAAGCTTCATTTTACTGGAAAATGATTGTTTCTGAGCATTCTAATTCAAAAATAATCATCATTAATTTTGAGTAATGATTTACATTAAAAATCATATGCCTTATAAAATGTTTAAAATTACACATTAGAAACAGTGACTTTATTATTATTATTATTACTAAATCTCTCATTTATTTAAAATAGAAGCCAATGTAAAATAAAGTTTTTATCCTTGAAAACTGCCTTTTCTAAGGGCAATCTAATAAAGATTTATTTTATCATTTTTATTTTTAATTAAAAATTTACAAGGATAAAAAGTCAGTTGAAACTTACTAGTTAACTTTTTTTAAGGTCAAAAAGTCACCAGAAAACTAAATCTGACTAAAAAATTTTAATGTAGTTTTGTTTTTGATTTTTAGTGTTATTATGCATAAATCAAGATTTTTAGCAAAAACTGACCTTAAGAAGTAAAAAAATATCAATCAGTACTTCTGTTCTAATTACTGAGATCAGCCAGTTTTCCTTTGGAACATTCTTATAGAAGTTGCATTTTCTAAGCAGTAATCCCTTAGCGATTTAGCGGCAGCTATGATAAAACTCCTATCCATCAGCTTATTAAACAATATTAAACAATCTTTCACAATAAATCAGTGACTTCCAAAGGAAGTTGCTATGAGATAATTCACTATGTACACTGACTACAAATAAGTATTTGGACACCTGTGATAGAAAAGAAAAACTAACTTTTTTCAAAATCCATAGTTGGTAGAGCCTCCACGAGAGTAATTACAGTGTGGATCCTGGGGCATACTTTCCACAAGTCTTTGTATGACAGCTGGGGTAGTTTCTTCCACCGTCTTGGACGACACAGAAGTTCCTCACCGATTTTGGCAAGGTCGTGCACCCTGAATTCGGCGATTGCAACTTCCCAGAGGTTTCGATAGGGTTCAGGTCAAATCTGGGCAGGCCAGTCCATTCGAGAACTCCCATGGCACCATACCAAGCCTTGGTTAACGTCGAAAGATGAAACTGGCATTGTCGTTGAAAGTAACGGGGTCCAATCGAAAACTGCCACAACGTAGGGAGCACATTGTCACAAATAGTGCAGTAGCATCAGAGTGAGCTTACCATGAAGGGGACCAAGAGGCCCAGCCCATACCAGGCGAAACCCCAGACATAATCCACCCGCGAACTTGGACGTTGGCACAATGCATTCTGGCAGAGACGTTCTCCAGGAGATGCCAGACCCAGACCCTGCCATCGAGCGGTAAAGGGTGAACTGATTGTCACCAAGAACGTTTCCACTGATCGGTCCATTTCGATGTGCTTTGCACCACATTAAACCCGAGCGCGATTGGACTTTTGATCAAAGGTTATGGGGCAGCAGCAGACTGAAAACCAAGCAGATGTGCTTCCTTACGGATGTATTCATTGAAACAACACTCCCGGATGCCTGTTGAAAGTCTTTGCGGATGAGGCCATCGGTTGGGTGCAGTTCTTCCGAATTCTTTGGACAGCATAGTCGGTCTCTATCTCAGTTTGTTGGTCTGCGACTAGGGGCACATTCCGACATACCGCTCACCTTCACTTCTTAATCACATAGGCCAGTGTCGATTTTGGGTACTTCGATCGCAGATATGTCCTTAAGGATCGGCCACATTGTGATACCGATAATTATACCTTCTCGAAATCAGAGAGCTCCAATTGTAGGCATTTGCATGGTCTAAAGCGATGCTGTTTCCTACACGATATATACCGGCGGAGTCCTTGACGTACCTTAGGACCGCAGATATCGTCATTTACATAGGTGTCCAAATACTTATTGGTAGTCAGTGTATTAAGGATAAGAAATAATTAAAATGTTTCAAATAAAATTTAGTGAAATGAAAATGAACTAGTTTTTGAAAAGGTCACTGAATATCAGTAGTTCAGTCCAGTGTACAAGTTAGCTGCATGAGATTTTTGTGATTTTTATAATGTATAGCATGAATGTAAGCTAGTTTCTGAAAAGGCACTCCACAAAAGCATCTCTCCTTAGAATAACCCCTTGTGTGCTTTGACATGATGCAATAAGTCCAAATCTCCTACTTAAATATTATGCAGTGTTTCATCATAACTAATGAATTAAGATTTAACTGATTAACCACACACTGTACATGAAAATGTTAATGACACTTTAAGAAGATGAATAAACTAAAACAAAGTAAGATTTAATTTTTACTAAAGAATACCAGATTAAAAAAGTGAAGGAAAATAATTTCACAATTTGATAATTAACTAAACAATTTTAGGTAGTTTTCTGTTATGGACCTGCCATGTATTTTGATGGTACTGTGGTAATAATATGTGTGTGTGATTAATTATTTTTGCTTACGCACACACACTCACATGGTCTCCAGATGGTACTATAAATAATTTTGTCATATTTTTGGTTTCTCTTTCACAGGCACCAAAAATCATGGCTGGTGCATAATGAGAAAGTACCTAGTTTTAAAATAGGTAACCTTACTTTCCCTTTTCTAATCTTTTTTAGACTATATTTTTCATAGAAAATTACCAATCCTTTTTTATAAAAGAGTTAATTAAATAATAACTTTTAATAGTTAAGTACATAAATTTAAAATTCTATTAAGTGCTAAGGTGTAGCATAAATTTTTTATCCATTTTTCAATTTTTAATTGTTTAATTTTCCTTCTTGCTTTTTTAACAAAAACTGTAATTAACTCAAAGATATGAAATATGGAGGTAAAAATATTCCTTCTTGCACTTTCAAATCACCATGTAAGTATATACATTTACAACTTGCAGCTGCTTTATTTTTATCCTGATATTTTCTATGCTGATGTTTTTAACCACTTTATTTTTTATGACTGTTTAATATCACATTTAAGAACTGTGATGTTTTCTGCTTGCTTTTTTTCTCCTATGATATATTCTGCGAACGCCAAAAAAGAAACTGAAAAAAGTAGGGTACACTTACTTCACTGTAAACCATCAATTCCATTTTGTTGATCTGGAAATGACTGTGCATACAAAAAATGTTGAAAGACTCCAGCTAAATGCTGAAATAAAAAAAAAAAAAAAAAAAAAGACACAGCTCATCATTGTCTTGAGATCCTATTGTGCAAAATTCATGGAGCAAAAGTCCTTGGAATGAGAAAATGCTTTTGATGCCAGAAATAAACCTAAATTTAGCAATAATATTGGCACCATTATGATGGGGACCATAAAGATAAGAAAGTACCCTTGTCTTTGTATCCAAAATTTACTCTATTAAATATAACTTGTTTCAGTTTACAGCAGTTATTCAATTTCATTTCTGGGAGCTTTAAAACACTGCTAATATTTCTAACTCTTAAAATTATATACTCATTCTCAAATCTTTGTAATTCAGCAGCTTTGCATAATACCAACTTAATAAATATTTATCTTTTTAATACTTAAATTGCATTTGTGGGTCCTTATCATGTAAACTCTATTTGATTTCATTTTGTTTATCACAAATGATTCAATTATAATACTGAATTAGTTTTTATTAGTGTTATCTACCATTATATTAGCTGATCATAATTTTGATTGTGTTAGCTTTTTGACCTTAGCATTTTTCTCATTAAGGAGGGAACTTTTTAATATGAGTTCACCAGTAATGTGTGTTTGAAAATTAAAGTTAATCTGCTTTGTTTTTTATGATAGAGCATTTAAGTGAGCATGTTCCAAAATCACCTGTGAGAGAACTATATGAAATTTCAAAGAAGGAAGATGTTTTTGGGTAAGAACTTATTCTTTGGTTTTTATTGTAATTTTTGATTTTGTTATAATATTACTGTGTGGTATTTTGGTTAACAATTCTGAGTTCAGTGTCATAGGGCCAAGTTTAAATCTCAAAGAGGGCATGGATGATTATTATTGTCTCAGTTCCCTTTCTGCATATATAATGTCAGTTGTTCCCTATGGTGCACCCTGGACAATGCTAAATAACTGGTGGCTTCAGCCATTCGCAAACAGTATTTAACAAGCAGAATTAATTATCAGCAACTTAAAAATAATTTAAGTGCTTCTAAGCTTAACTACCATTTGTTTATATTTGGCACTCTTTGTAGAATGGTGAATTAAGTCAGTTTCTGCACCTTCGGTGTCTTTTTGCCAAGTGTGATCAAAAGTAAACTTTTAGTTTTGTGCAACAAAAAATCTACCTTTTTGCCCATTGGCCGAATCGCTTGTTTTTGCCTAGAAACTCTAACTTTAATTGTAAAAACTGTTTTTATAACTGAATTGAGTGTTTTATGTTTTTCTGTATTTTACAATTTTTAATGAAGATGTTTTGCTGCGAAGTGAGAACTTTTAATTGAATGAGAAATTTATCTGTAATGAAATTCGCGGAAATAAGTTTAAATGAAATGCAGCAAAAAATGTGTGTTATTTAATAGGCTATACTAGGAAATCATGTCTTGTCCACATAAAATTTTTGAAATCAAGCACTCTTTTTCAGCACGTCTTGTTGTTTTTTGGTGTGCGTGTGTGTGTGCACGTATGAGCTTAAACAAAATTTACATGTTTTTAAAAATCCCTGTTTCACTAATCATATTTTAGAGTTAACAGTGCTATATGGTGGAATCTCTTTTTTGCGTGGTCCTTTTTTATGGGATTTTATTTTTGTGTAGTTTTTTTATGCAGTATATGAATTCCAACGGTGCTGGCATTATGACACCATCGTAATGTTTTCTGTCGGTGTACATATATACACTGAAAGGCTCTGTTCACCTTTAGGTGCTATGTTTTGCTTTGTACGAGAAGTTGAAAAGTATATGACAGAGATAGATCTTTCTTTTAAAGTGTCGGTAATTGTTGGCAGTGCTCCTGGCCATCCTTGCTGAGAACTCCTAATGTACAAGTAGTTTTTTTTTTTTACCACCCTATACGATTAGCCTTGTACAGCCATTGGATTAGTGCATAATTGCAGCTTTTAAGAACCATTGTGTGGAATTAATTTTGAACAACATTTTGAAAAAACTAGAAAATGATGGAATAAGCCTGACTGAAGTTTGGAAAAAAATTTAGGCTGCATAAACCATACTATGGCGGCAATTGCTCAAATGAAAAATCACACTTTAAATTCATGTCAGAAAGCTGGCTATCCTAACATTTACAAGCAGCTGATCAAACGACCATCATTGCAAAATCTTTTCACCGACTTTATGGTAATAAAAAATAAACCAATTTCAAGTAATGAAAGCAATTTTGAACCAGTTCATCTCAAGAAAATGCACGTTTCAGATTACAATGAGTAGCAGTGAATTATGTGTTATGTAGCAGTGAACGTCTCCATGTGTAAACTGAGAAATTAATTTTTTTAATGTTTCCATGTATAATTTAATTATTTATTTTGTTTGAAAGCGCTTTCTCATTATTTTGTAAATCTTTGACATATTTTCTAAGTGCAACTTCTTTTTAATGCAGTCCCTTTCCACTGCATAAAAAAAAAAATGTTCTCTAATATATTGTAAAAAATTATTTGTTATAAGTATTTGTGATTTTTTTCCACTTTTTTTTATGCAATCGCTATCTACTGCACAAAAACAGGTTTGACTGTATCTGGAAATTAGATATGAGCTATAAAAAAATATAGCATAAATTTGCAGTAATAAAATGCAGAAAATTATATATTTTTTAAGCAGAAAGCTTCTTTTACATGTGCAGATCAGTATCTGATGAGAGGCTGTGTTAGTATATGCAAATTAGTATTTGTTAAAAGACAGTTATTAGTTGCGTTTAATAACTCTGCCTACAAAAATAAGGCAACAAAATAAAGAATTTGTGTTATATTTAACAATAAAAACGTATATCAGTATGGAATTACTAATGATTATTTTAAGTTTTACATAAATAAGAATAAAACAAAAAACTATTACATAGAAATTTATAGAGATTAAATAGATATAATAGATAAAATTAAATAGGTAAAAAAGGGAATTTTGCTTTGAACATCATTGACTGACCAATAAGTAATACCAAATGCAAATTTGAACAATGTAATTGTTCCATAAATCTTGTCCTAACACATGATAATTTCATATTTGTATAGTTTAATAATCTCACACTGCATGCAAAATGTACACCCATATTTCTATATATATTTATCTTAAATGTGTACATGTGTAAAATTTTCTTTATTTAAAATTTAATTGTTTCAATTTTTTTAGTAAGCCAGTTCAGAAAAGTGGTAGAACATACATCGAAGTTGAGTTCAAAGGAAAGAAATTTGTTGGTGTCGGGCCTAATAAAAAAGTTGCCAAGAGATCAGCTGCTAAAAGAGCACTTGCATATTTAAAGTATAAGAAAGAAGAGACTGTTGTCAAGAATAAAAGTTGCCAAGAGATCAGCTGCTAAAACAGCAATTGCATATTTGAAATATAAGAAAGAAGAGACTGTTGCAGAAAAATCTACATTTCGTAGGTTGTGATAGTTGTGTTTGTGAGAAGGTTGTTAAGTACTTATAACTATGTATAAATAATGAAAAAAAAGTATAAAACACTAAAAATCATGTTGAATGTTATTATCAAGTAAAATATTTTCTCGGAGTTTCTAAGTTTATATTTTATTTATATCTGTATTATTTTAGTTTTAATTTTAGTGTTGTTTTAGAAAAGTCTGTTATCTGTTTAGATGGCATCCTATGAAGAAGTACAGTCAAAAGTCTTTAATCCGGACATAATCCAATGATCTATATATAATCCGACCTCAAAGCTACATTTCTCGTGCACTAAACGTTGCATAATTTAATGTATGCGACGGTATAAGCTCAAGTTATCTATTTCTAGTTCAATGTTGGATTGCGTTGTTCCTTAATCTTCTAATTGGTTCCGGCTTATTATTTTTTGCAGACCATTAGAGCAATTTTATAAAAGTACGCGTGAACTTTCGATTATGTCAAAAAGAATTTCCGATTCAGGAGCTACCAAAAGGATCTACAGAGCGAAAGCATGTTTTCGATGTCCATCAAACAAAAAGTGGAATTGCTGCAAAAAAGGGAAAAAGGCATATCTTATGATTCTCTAATCATTCCGAAATATGTTTATCAATTTCACTGCCGCGCGGGGGGGGGGGATGGCGTGCAGAACTGAAATTGATCTGTCAACTTATCTATCTTCAGGCAATGTTTTTATTTTTCGGTTAATTCCTTATTGAATGTAGTATTTCATCTCGATGTATCCTTTGATATGATTTAAATCAAATTCTCGCATTATAATATCACGAATACCATCAAATTTTTCTGGTTGCAATTTCTAATTTCTATGCATAATGTATAGTACGCAGGCGACGTATTGAAGAGAATACGTTTGATAAGTAAAAAGTACAATATTAAGGTTTATTTTTGTAAATTTTGATACCCTTTAGATCAAATTGCTCTTTATTTCATAATTACGTTTCATATTTTAATTTTTATAATTTCTGCATGCAATCTTACCAGATTTTTATGAATGACAAATTAAGTCTGGAATCGCCACGCGATAAGTCCCGACAAGTCCTAGCTTAAAGACTTTGATGACCTGTATTATATTTGTGTTGAAAATGTTATATATATTTTTAATCAAGAAATTTGTGAATATACAACAGACATGTATATGAAGAATGATTCTTTATTTACAAAACAGAAATTCTATCTTAGTTAGTGATATTCGATGAAATATTTGTATGAAGCTATAGTATAACCTTCCTTCTTAGTAAGTAGTAGTCTTAAGTAAAAGCGAAGGTTGAAAATTGTTTTATCTATCTATCTTTTTTTATTGTTTATGCTACATTAATTGTATAAATACAAAAATATTATATAATAATATTCTAATAATCTGAACACCTTGGAAACAAGGGTGGTGCAGATAAGAGAATTTTGCTGATGAAAGATCATGTCTCCCTGAGATTTGTTTGTTTTCCATTTATGATTTTTACATTAAATTTGGATTGCTTGCTCATATGGATCATCCAAGGAGGTTTTTTTTTTTTTTTTTTTTTTTGTAAATCATAAATGCCAATGATGCAGTATAAAAACATAAGAAAGTTTAAATCATAAATGCCAATGATGCAGTATAAAAACATAAGAAAGTTTCATTGAATCACATAAGTACCATAATTTTGTGTTTATTTATCATCTCTCCTGCAGTTGGAAAATTCCTTTTTTTTTTAAAGAAAATTATTGCATTTTAAATTAAGAAGTTATTGGAGTTGTTTGACAATCAACTCCAGTAAAGAAGTCTCCAGGCCCTTCAGAGAATTTTGAAGTAACTTGAAGAGATGAAAATCCAAGGAGACAAGATCTGGTGAATATGGAAGAGGGTCATTTAACATTCCATCTGTAATTCAATAAATTTTTGTTTGACATTCATTAAATCATCAAAATGTGGAGCAGAGTAGTTGTCCCAATGGGAGGCAACATCCCAACAAGTTTGTCAATCCTGGGCACTTTACTTTGATTTCTGCTCTTAAAACTGCCATTTGGGGATGGTATTTTTAAAAATTTATTCTGTGATTTAGTGGCAATATTTCACAGTGTACAATTCCTTTGTAGTCTGACCATAGACAAAGCATTTCTTTTCTAAGATGCAGCCACTCTCTCGATGTTACTAAAGGAGGTTTTTTTTTTACTCCACTTCTCATCTCAGTAATGAGCCATTTCAAAAAAAGGAGCTTCTTTATTTATTTTTCAACAGTGTGTCACAGGCTCAAACTCAAGTAAGCATGTTGTGTTAAAGCAGGGTTTCTTAAACTTTTTTCATTCACAACCCTTTTTTATCACTGAGATTTTTTCGCAACCCCCAGGACCCCATAATATTTATGAAAATTTTGTGGGACCCCATATGCATTGTGCAAATCCAACACACGCGTGTGTGAAATTGTCAATTTTTTCACTTCTTCTGTTATATACTCTTGCAGTTTTAAGTCATTAATTTCTAATTTCAAGACATAGAACAATGTGAAAATTTTATATAAGTAACAGACAAAATGACATCGTCACATGCAAAGCAAGTAAAACGAACGTTTCTATTATAAAAAGAATGCATCAAAACGTTTTCTTTTTTCCTTTGCCTGTATTTTCTTATCTTTATCTATTTTCAGATACATAATGTGAAAATATTTGGTAATTGTAAAATTATTATAATAAGTTAAAGAAATATCAAATCTGCATATCAAATCTGCTAAATTTTTTGGCGGCCGCCTGCTGCAGGTCCCTTGACCCACAGTTTAAGAAATGCTGTGTTAAGGTATGGGGTACCCATACATTGCAGCTGCCTTCATTAAGTGATTGTGTTGTGTACTTTTTAAAATATTTAATTTGTTGGATAGTTTCTGAACTGTGTACAATGTGAATTTCAGCAATAGCTTCTTTTAATACATTCTTTTTTACAAAGGATGGTCATCCACAGCAGGCATCACCTTTGAGGCTGAAATCTGCTGCTTAAACTTCTCAAACCATCTTCAGAGTGTCATCAGAAACAGCACTTTGTCCATATATAGCACTAATTTTTTAAGCAGTCCGACTAGCATTTTTTCTCCTTTTTCAAAATAAAAGAACATAACATGGTGAAAATGAACTTTTACGTTCTCCATTCTTAGCACTGCCCTGAAACAAAATCTTATGCCACCATACATGCCATGCTAGAATTATGCAGCATGTGCAGAAAAGGCAATATTTAAACATCTGCCTTGATCAGACTCGCATCTTACCAACAGTAGCAAAATAGTTAGCAAAAAACAAGCTTCGATTTAGTAAACCACAGAACTTTCCAAATGACCAAATAATTATGCAATAGTATTCTTGTAATCTGAATACCTTGGGATCAAGGGTTGTGCACATAAGAGAATTTTGCAGATTTTAGATCATATGTCTGTGAGTTTTTTATTTAAACATTTTTCTATATCTAATTTAAATTTGGATAGTTTCGATATAAATAGCTGACTAAAACATATTCATAACATCAGAATTATTTAATCAAAAGTAATGAAACGAGAACTCTTACTATGTTTACTTGCATATTCCCCCTATTACTTGGTAATTTTTTTATGATTGAAAATTGGGAGAGGGAAAATATATGGTTATGCTATTTCTGAAGAGCCATCTTAATTGATAAATATGCACATTAAAAAGCAAAAACGCATGCATAAATACATATCAATATGATTATAGTATGCATATCAAAGGACTTATCAATTTCAGTAATGTTCTTTTTACTCACACAAAATACTTTTCTATTTGTGCATACATTTTACATTATTACCTTAAATCAGAAGTTTCTATAAGTTGAAAAAAATGAGGGGAAAATTATGCAAGGATTAGTAATATGCAAGTAAATGTGGTATATGTTTTCATCAAGTTACATACTAAGAAAATAATGTCAGTATAAAAGAAAAGTGTGAAGGAGAGTAAAATAAACAATTTTTTTAGGAATTAATAAACTCTGTTTTTAAATACTTTGAAGTATTTTGTCTTAACAATTATGCATCTGCTGGCAAAACTACTTTCACAGTAATTTTTATAATCTAAATAAGGTAATACTATATAAGTAACACTGTTCACAAAATCCAGTGTGAGGATCCCTGTTATCCTAAATCCCTGTTTATCCTAAATTGAATCCTTAATTGCACCATTATGTTAGATGCAAATGCAGTTGGATTAAGTAACTTAAAAAATAAGAGAACTGAAATATTGAGTTTTTTAAAAAACACTTTTTTGCAGTCATAATGGCAAATTGAGCCTAGGAAAGATGTTAAGTAATTTTATTAATAAAGTAAGTTTACCTTTTTAATCAAAGTATGTTGTAAACATAGTGCATTTCTGTTAAAATGTTTATTTGAATATTAATATATGAAAAATTGTCAGCAAATTTCCAGTGCTTAATTTTTTTTTAAATAAAATTTTGTTTGTCTGTATAAAAATAAGTTCTGATTTTGGGCATTTGCAACTTAAGCTGTTGCAGATGGTCAGAATTCTACTTATTTTTCTATCAGAAATACTATATCCTTTTTGACCAAGAACTTTTTCTTCAAGAGAAAAATTTCTTCTATTGAGTAATTAGAAGGATGATGCTTGAAGACAAACATAGCCATAAATTCAACACATAAATTTATTCCTTTATAACTAATTCTTAGGATACCTATGGATCTTTATACATTATCATGAGTACACTATGCACCTTACAATTTTATATAAGTATTTATTTACATCTTTAAACAATGGACAAGACAGAGCTATGAAAACACATGTTGGCACAGTGAGAGGAAGGCAGGAAAGAAGGTATATGTATCAGCAAAGTGCATGATAAAGAGTAAAAAATATCTTTAATCTTGTCGGGTAAAAACTTACTGCATTGCAGTAGGTTTGTTTACACAAGTAAGCATAAAACGGATTAATTTTGAAAGATGTAGTCCAAAAAAATTTAGTGTAAACAATTTCTACCTTTGGAACTGAAAAGAGGAGATATAGAAATTAAAATGAAAAATTACAGGGCTGTTTCTAATTTAAGTTACAATTTTGAGTTACGTATTTTATATATTACAAATAGATACACATATAAAATATCTGTCTATA